GCACTAGGACATGGGTTCCCACTCCGCCCCGGGCCCCGCCTCTTGCAGCAACGGCCGTGGCACTGTGGGGCTTTGTGTTTTTTTTTAATCCTCATCCGAGGATGTTTTCCCATTGATTGTTAGAGAGAGTGGAAGGGGCCGGGAGAGAGCTAGTGGGAAGGAGGGGGGGGGGGGGGGGGGGAGAGAGACAGAGAGAGAGAGAGAGGGAGAGAGAGAGAGATTGGCTGCCTTCCGCACACACCCAGACAGGGCCCGGAATCCACCTGCAACCCAGGCCTGTGCCCTTGACCCTTGATGGGAGCACCAATGCTCCCATCACTGGGCAACACCACCCAGGGCGGAGCTGCGGGTTTTAAGTTCACAGGCAAATCGGTGCCACACGCAAAGAAGTCCACTTGTGCAGGCCCGTGTGGCTCAGTGGTTGAGCGTGGATCTCATGAACCAGGAGGTCACGGTTCAATTCCCTGCCCTGGTTGCGGGCTCGATCCCCAATAGGGGGCGTGCAGGAGGCAGCTGATCAATGTTTCTATTGTATCTCTCTCTCTCTCTCTCTCTCTCTCTCCCTCTTCCTTCCTCTCTGAAATCATATATTTTTAAAAACCACTAGTAAGGAACTCTTACAAGTCAATAATGAAAAGCTAAGTGACCCAGTTAAACATTGGACAGGACCCACATGGCCATTTCTCCAAGGAAGACACACGCGGCCACGGAGCCCACGAAAGATGCTCCCACCGCCAGTCACCAGGGAGCAAAGTTCGGGCTCTGAGAGGTGCCAGCTCACACCCAGGGGTGGCGAGAACTTAAAAACGGAAGACAGCCCTGCCCGGGCAGCTCAGATGGTTAGAGTGTCGTCCCAATACGCCAAGGTTGTGGGTTCGAGCCTCGGTCACAGCACACGCAATAAGCAAGCACCGAGTGCGCGGATGGGCGGAGCAGCAAATCTCTCTCCCAAATAAATTTTAAAAAATAAAAATAAAAACAGAAGGCGAGTGTAGGTGCGGACGAGGGGGGAGCAGAACCCGGAGGAGCCGGTGGGGTGGAAGGTGGCAGCCTCTGTGGACAGTGTCCGGCGGCTCCTCAGATGGTTAAATGCAGTGACCACCACCCAGCAAGTCCACTCCTGGGCACAGGGGCCTGCACACTCGCTCACAGCCGCTCGAGTCCCAGCAGCTAGAGGTGGGAGCAGCCAGTGTCCAGCGGCAGGTGACGGACACACGGGGTCGTCCCCACCCAGAGCTCGTCACACACGCGTGAGGCAGCGACACACCTCACTCGGGCACGGGCCTGAGAACACGCCCGGCGGTGTGCACCGCTCAGAGGGGCCGCAGCGGGTCCATCTGCGGGCGTCCTCGGTCCCAAGCATTTCCCACGCGTCCAACGGGACTGCCCAGCTTCTCCCGCTTCTCTTGCTCTGGGCCTGATGGACGTCCCAGCCGTGCTGAGCCCATGCAGCCCCCACGCGTGACGGGGTCCTGATTCCACCCCCTCAGCAGCCCCCCAGAAGCTGGCCCCATGTACCGTAGCAGATGGGGAGACTGAGGCTGGGAAGGGCTGGGCCATGCACCTCACAGGGGTTGTCTCCTGGGTCAGACCTTGGGCCTGAGGCAAAGACCAGCATGAGGGACCCCACACACCCCAGAGGGAGGAGCCGGGAGCCCTACAGCCTCACAGAACACAGGGTGGGAGTTGGGATGCTTTTCACAGGTCACTGGGCTCTACCCACCGCAAACCAGCTGCCTCTGAGCGGGTCTGTGTGACCAGGTCCCTGCACCAACATGTGGGATGGGCCTGGACAGGTGTAATGGGGCTTGTATTTCCTTCTCTGTCCATCCATCCACCCACCCATCATCCATCCATCCACCCATCCATCCATCCACCCATCCACCCACTCCTTCTCTGTCCATCTATCCATCCATCCACCCACCCACCCATCCATTCATTCATCCATCCATCCATCCACCCACCCATCATCCATCCATCCACCCACCCACCCATCCATTCATCCATCCATCCATCCATCTATCTATCCACTCATCCATTCATTCACCCATCCATCCATCCACCCACCCACCATCCATCCATCCACTCACCATCCATCCATCCACCCATCCACCCATCTAACCATCCATCCACTCATCCATTCATTCACCCATCTATCCATCCATCCATCCATCCATCCACCCATCAATCCATCCACTCACCCACCCACCATCCATCCATCCACCCACCATCCATCCACTGAGAGGAGGGATCTCTGTTCTCAACTTGAGTCTGGGTGGGTTCTGACTGCTCAGCCAGTGCAGAATGGCTGCAAGGCCCACGTGACTGCCAAGGCTGACAGGAAGTCACCTCCGCCTGGTGCACAAGCTCAGATTTCTTTTCTTTCTTTGTTTTTCTCTCTCTGTATCTGCATCTCTCTCTTCCTATCTCTCTCTGTGTCTCTATCTGCATCTCAGTCTCTCTCCCTCTCTGTCTCTGTCTCTCCTTGGGAGCTGAGCCTCGGAAGCCAGGTACGGAGCTGGGCACCTCTCAGGCTGCCTCACAGTGGAGACCCAGTGGAGCGAGCGGAGGGAGCCCACGATGCCCCAGCGGCTGGCGTCCTCCCAGCCCCGGTGAGAGGCCTCAGGCGATGAAGCCTCAGCTACGGCCCAGTGAGAAGCTGGCTGAGCGCAGCCAATCCCAGAAAACGCGGTGTCTAAATGCAGGGAGGGTGGACGGGCACAGGGGTTCTCCAGAACCCCAACCCCATGCTCCCCACGCGCCCCAGAGCGCTGGCCTCCGGGGTGAGCCCCCGCAGCTCCCCACAGCCCCCTCTCGTCTCCAGCGCGGGAACCCAGCTCCATTCCTACCTCCGCAGCCCCTGCCCTGGCACTTGTCTGCAGGTGTGGGCGGTGAGCCTGGGCCACCAGGTGAGCAGGCACCTGCCCCAAGCGGAGGTGGACCGCGCTGCTGCCCACGGGGTGGGGTGGGGGCACTGATGAGCCTCAGGGGGACACCCTGGCATGTCAGGAAGACCTGGGTCCCACCCTCAGGGTACCCCCCCCTCTGGGTGACCCCCCTCGGCGCTGCAGTGCCGCCGCCGTCCAGCAGGGGCCGCCACGCTGCCACCTTCGGTCCTGGAGGTGCAGTGGGTCAGAGGGGAAGGAGAAGTTTCCTGAGGGTTTGGCCCAATTACTGGGCGGACCAGCCTCACCCCCAAAGGGCCCCCAGCCCAGCATCCTCAGGAGGGCGGGACCGGCAGGCAGACCCCTGGAGGTGTCCCAGCCCGTCCCCACACCGTCCGGGACCCTGTCCTTCCAGCAGCGCCACCTGGGACTAGAGCTGCTGGTCCAACCCTGGGAGCTGGAGGTTCGGGTGGGACTCGGGAAAAACGCTCCCTGTCCTGGCCCCGCAGCACCCTCTCCAGGGCGTCCCTGGAGCAGGGAGGGCACAGCAGGGGACGTGGCACCCTTGGGCCCTCACCGTGTGGGGTCCGCGTGTGCCCGCGAGGGGACAGCAGGCTCCATGAGGCTGCGCCTGGCCCCTGCCCTCCGCGAGCTCACCTCTGCGGCTGCCGCCTCCAGATCTGACCGTCCAGGTCCCAGACCAGGAACCCCCGCGGCTGTTACAGAACGCTCAGGCCACACGGCTCCCACGGGAGACCCACCTGCAGGCCTTTGGGGGGGGGCCCCCCAGGTCCAGCACCAGGAGGCCCCCGAATTCCTGGGGAGGCTCAGGGCAGGGGCCAGGCCCCCAGGAGACACCTGTCCCACAGACCCCACACCTTGGTGCCCAGCTGAGCGTGGTGGGCGCCGCCACAGGGCGTGTCCCCTAAGAAAGGGGGTGGGTAGCGTCCTGCCAGGCCTCCCACAGGAGGGCTGACCCCAGGGAGCCCAGGCCGGGGGTCTGTCCAGGAGGGGGTCCTGCCGCCCCATGCGTGGCACACAGCTGTGCAACGGGCTCTGTGCCCCGGAGGAGCCTGGAGACTCGGAACTTTATTCCAGACAAAGCTCACGCTCTGGCTCACAGGTTCCCTCGTGTCCTCAGCCACAAAGGACCCCGCCCCTCCCCCTCCCGGTCTCACCTCGGCCAGCCCTCCACTGGCTCCGGGTCAGGCTCCGGGCTCTGGGGTCAGGCTCAGACTCCAGGCTCCGGGAGGTGGGGGAGAAGCCCTCTGTGCTGGGCCACCAGCCGGCTCTGACCACCCCGGCTTGCCTCTCCATGGAGCCCCTCACCAGCCCTCCGTGCCTGGCGGCTGCCAGCAAAGCCACACTGGATTCCACCACAGAAACCAGGACAGATGAGCTGGGCTGCGCTTATGGATATAAAATGACAGCCACAGGCACATCATTTATAGACGATATAAAATCACCAGTAAACACAATGAGCTGCTTTTGACTAACGGCTTTACTGTTTCTATAAAAACGAGACGTGCTTGTTGTGAAAGCCGTGAAGAGAACTGGGAAGGGAGCCTGGTAATGCCGGCCATGCCAGCCCGGACAGGGACCCCAACGTGCTCCCCCACCCCCCAGACCAGGAGCCGTGTGGTGGACAAACACTCCGAGAGGGACCGCGTCGCACATGCCCTGGCCGACCCGTCTACTGGGAGCAGCCTGTCCTCATGGTCAGTGCCCACAAAGCCAGCGCCACGGGCTCCAGAACGAGACGCCACCCAGGCCAGGGCGACCCAGGTCAGTGCATCCCCGGGTCCTGTCACAGGGAGGTGGGGGGGGGGAGCGGGCAGAGCAGGAAGATGGGAGGGAGCACAGGCCACAGCACGAGGCACCTCCAGACGCCGGAAAAGGCAGGGCTCTCGCCAGAGCCCCCAGCAGAGACGTGGCCCCTCGGGGGTTTCAGGCTCCAGACCCCTCAGGAACACGCCTCCTCGTTTGGGTTTCTGGGAACTATGCGGAGGGAAGGGCCTCCCGAAGGCTGGGGTGTGGCTGCAGTGGAGGGAGCACAGGGCGAGGGGCGAGGGGGACTCAGCTCTGCACCCCCAGCCATGACGTGTGTGGATGAGGCGGGGGGGGGGCAGACAAGTGCCAGACCGAGGGCCTGGGCCAGCCATGCTCCTGACCCTTCCCCCAAGGCCCTCGGAAAGGCCCTGGAGACGTGGTGCCCCTGCTGTCTCTGGGCCTAGGGCCGAGGAGTGAACTGCACTTCACACACAGGAGCGGGCGGACGGCGGGCCCCGCGTCCTGTTTTTAGTGTCAGGAGCCGCCCGCCATCCCCACGAAGGCTCTTCTCGGACTGGCCCTCCCCCGCCTCCCTGGCTCCGAGACCCTGTGTCGCATCACCCCGACTGCAAACTCACGGTGTTTCAGAACGAGAACCTCCCCAATGTCCACAGAAAGTTCAACTGCAAAGAGTTCAACACAAAGTACTTTTTCGTTTTGAAACAATTCCAGACTCCCCAAAAGCTACAAAAATAGGAGTGTCACAGGCCGTTTCCCCACACAGCATCTTACCTGATCACAGGACGAGGGCGGGATCCCCATGGCCACCCACCTGCAGACCCTCAGTCAGCGGTGGCCTCCCGCCCGTCCCCCTGGCCTGGGCCACGGAGCCTGGTCCTGGGACGGCCCGGTGTCCTCCTGGACCGGACGCTCTGAGCACTGGGCTTCCTCGTTATGCGCTTGGCAAGAAAACCACGGAGTGACCTGTGCCTTGTCGGGGCGTCAGGCTGGGGCGCTCCCCCTCCCCTCTGTGCACGGGGTGCTCCCTGTGGGCCCCACGGCCTGGCTGTGAGAAACAACATGGCTCCGAGGCAGAGCGAAGCCGCAGGCTGGCAGCCATTCTCGTTGATGCCGGAGCTTCCTTTTGTACAAACACACGGATATTTCTAGTTTAAACTTTCTTTTAATCCAGTCAACACAGGTTTTAATTTTGTTGTTTTTTAGTTTACTGAGAGAGACATCGATGTGTTGTTCCCCTTGCTCACTGGTTGGTTCTCTATGTGCCGACTGGGGACTGAACCCACAGCCCTGGCACATGGGGACGCGCTAACCATCTGAGTGCCCAGCCAGGGCCGCTTCTGCAGTTTCTAACATCTGTCTCATATATCACAGATACTCTTGGATTCTGCTTTTTCATTGTTTTGTTTTATAAAAAAGGGAAAGAAAACCATTCTTCCAGGGAAGTTTTCTAAAATTCACAAACGTCCAGTGTTACAAGATGCGGCCCGAGTGTCCGCTCACAGACGAGACAGTCTGTCACCGTCACGGGCCTCCCAGGTGACAGGAAGCCGTCCCACGTGCATTTTAGACAGAACTCGCACCCGGGGGAAGATCGTCTCTCAAAGTGATCCAGGAGGCGGAGGATGAGCCCTTCCGGCTGCGAGCCCCGCCCACCGAGGTGCCCCGAGGGCCTCGCCGCCCCATTCTCAGCCACACCCCACGTGATCCCGTGAGAATTAGTGTTTGTCTGCCTTTCCATCCATCAAATCTCCAAACCCCAGTTTTTCCAGTGGTTCCTGTGCCATCAGTTGCCTGAAAGACAGACAGACAGGTGTCAGGTGGAGGGAGAAGGAGGAGCAGCGCCCAGGTGCCCATCCCACCGGAGAGACCTGGTCCCCACCAGCCTCCTGCTGTTCAGGCGCCGGGGCAGGTGCCTGGGAGCCCAGAGCCCCTCCTGCCTCCCGCTCACAGGCCCGGAAAGAGCTGGGTCTGCGTGGTTTTGTGTGGGGAGGCAGCTCTGAGGCCCCCCCTCACCTCCTGGACGGGCCGGTACCCGCCACTCGCTGGCCACCATCACTGCCACCCCCGCTTCCAGCACTGAGCGTGTGCGCCCTGCACCCCTGCAGGCGAGCTGCCCCAGGCACGCTGGACACTATGAACACCTGTGACGCTCACACACAACTGAGGTTCTGTGGGCCTGTGTGCGCTGGCCACACTGCTAGAACACAAACAGCCCCGGAATGACCTGCACCCACGCCCCCCGAGTCCCCTGCAGCCGTCCCCACTCGGAAAAATGCTGGAGCTGCTTCATTAGCCAGGAGAAATGGAAAGGGGATGGAGACGGGAGAAAGATGGAGAAATGTGGGCAATTACTGGCGCTGGGGGACGGACGAGGGCAGGGCTCATTGGACTGCTCTCTACTCTGCACGTGCTGGACAATCTCCACTGCAAAAAGCCAGAATCCACTTAAACATAAAAAGTCTACGCGGAGGACAGACTAAGTAATTTGTCTGTGTCCCCAAAAGGGCTGGACAAGCTGGTAGGTAAGCTCCTTGCTGAGCACACTTGCCCCTACCAGTGTGGGCTGTGTTCAGTGGTTTCAGATTACACCCGGGAAGGTCCCCAGAAGGCGGTGCCCAGCAAGGAGTTCCACGGAGAGGCAGCCAAGGGGCTGGGAGGGGCCTGTCGCTGGAGACAGGGTGGGCGGGCGGCAGGGAGGCCAGATCCCGGGAACCTGGGCAACAACGCGCAGGACTGAAAGGGCGGCCGCACCTGCAGGCCGGCGGCTGGAAAGCCAAAGTGGCCCGGGCTCAGACAGCAGTGCCAGGTGCCTCTGAACTGTGTGCTGGCTGGGAGGTGTCCCCGGCCTGGCGGGGTGGTCAGTTGCGGGGTAAGAGCATCCTGGGCTCTGAGGGGCAGGCTAACAAGAGCTCAGGGAAATGTCTGCAGAGCGGCCAGCCCGGTCAGCACAGAGTGGACTGGCAGCAGGTCACAGTAACTCCAGGGCAGTGGGCTCACACTCGGGCCAGGCCCACAGTGGACCCTCTCGGTCCTGGTGAGGAGGGCGCCCGGCCAACAGCTCTCAGAGCTGCGGCCTGACTTCCCTGCGGTGGGCGGGCCCAGGACCCCCAAGGACGCACTGGCCCTGAAGCCTGTGAGCACCCCCTAAGGCAGGGGGAGCCCACTGCAGGCTCAGGGGTTCTGGGGGAGATCACTTGGGTTCACCCCGTGGGGGACCCTGAAGTCAAGGCCTCCGCTGGCGGTGGTCCGAGAGGCGGTCAGGAGCGGGAAGGGCCAGAGGCCCACTGTGGTCGTGTTTAAGCGGCCAGTTTGGCTCAGGATATAGAGCATCGGCCTGTGTCACGGCGCCTGCAGGAGGCAACCATCCACGTGTCCCCCTCCCACCCACGTTTGTCTCCCCCTCTCTCGCCCTCTCTCTAAAAAAGGCCCATGGAAAAATACCCTCGGGTGAGGATTAACAACAAGAAATAATACATAAGTGGCTGGGAACTGGGCGCCGTCGGAAGTCCTCCACCCCCACGTTTAAGTGGCCCACTGCCTCCCGTCGCCGGCACATTCCGAACCGCACAACACAGGGCCAAGGGGCGGGAGCCACTGCACCCCGCCTCCGGCTCGGGGCGGGAGCCACTGCACCCCGCCTCCGGCTCCTCCCTCGGTCCGCAACGCAGCGACGGCACCCACCCCGGTCTGCGGAGACACTGCA